CAGTAGACTTGTCGAAGTTAATTAATTCCTTGAAAAGCTTGAAAGATCTGCGATCCTCACACTCAAGATGGTTTTTCATCGAGTTTAAAATCATCGGACATATATGTATCTATAATATCATTAATTATCTTGTTGTTTGAAATTTCTTTGAGTTTTATGCATGAAAAGGAAAACTTAATTATGTAATCATTTTTCAAATCTAAATCAACAATACATCCAATCACATCTTTTATTTCATCCTTTTATTATTTCTTTACTTGAGAAGAATTGGAATTTGGTTAGTGTTACAAATACTCTCAAACCAAAATGTACTTTGGAACTATCTTTCTGTTCCTTTTCATGATGTTATTGGTATATCGCAGACATATAATTCATCGACATACATTTCTTATTCTTGCCAGATTTATCTGTGTCCTGTCAACTTTTTGATTAAAAGCGTCGGATAGCGCAAAAGATTTGCATTGATTTCGTTTCTGCTATTGCTCTTCAAGGGACAAAAACAAATCTCTTAACATTTACGATGTTTTTCATAAACTGTGATTTCTGGCACGAAACATATGAACCAGCTCGTTCTCAAATTTTTCTTTCATAACGATACAGCTAATTTTGAATTGTTTTGCAGCTAGGAATATTTTCGTAAGACCATTATTTTTTGAAAGGTTTCTCTAAAACAAGACTTTATTATTATGAAATTTCTACGTTGTTTCCTTACCTTCTATAACTTAGATCAGCATCAGTCATTCTCACAAAAGAAGACACAACCAAGTAATCTAATTGATAAAAATTCATGTTTAATATTTTTGGTACAGTATACGCGAACATTTGAGCAATATCTTGTTTCTGTTTTTCAGTATCTGAGGATTGGCACACACACACTATTGCCTCTTGTACATTTCCAGCGAATCTCGATTGGAATTAGGTCAGTCTTTGAACTTTTCAATCACATTAACTTTCTTATGAGGAATATACACCAGGACGTTTCCACTCGTCTGGGTGTGGGTGCGTGTGAGTGTGGGTGGCTGTAATTATTCATCTTATCTACACCCACACCCACACCCTCTGTCACGGATTGTGATGGGTACTGGGGTTCTCTGTCACAGTCTGTGATGGGTATCAGAGATTCTCTGTCACGGTGTGTCATTGGTACCGAGGATTCTATGCCACAGTCTATGATGGGTACGGGGATTCTCTGTCACGATCTGTGATGGGTACCAGAGATTCTCTGTCACGGTCTGTCATTAGTAC